TTCTTTCACAGAAGAAAATTGAGCGCAAAGAAACTTTTACACTACCTTCTTTACACAAAAAACAAAACTGTCAAATAACCGTAAATGAGATGGTATTCAAAGTGTTAACTATGAAAAAACGGTTTATTAACGTTCTCCTAATACGGAAACAACCAGAATTTTATCGCACTGCTACGGTTACCTAATAAAGCTACTCAGTTCCTTGCTGATGGATACATATTATAGCCGAGAGGACTATTCCGTCAAATGGATACATATTACAGCAGAGAGGACTACTCCGTCAGATGGATACATATTATAGTGGAGAGGACTAATCCGTCAGATGGATACATATTATAGCCGAGAGGACTAATCCGTCAATCTCGTGAGCGGCAGAACGGTGCTTCGAGTCGCAGTTTTGACACAACAATATTTCCTCCATTAACACATAAAGAGTTTCCAGTGTCTAGCAAGTCCCAATTTGTGACCCTGGGCTAATAGATTACGATTCTCTCATTCACGCATAAATGATAGTCTAGCAGCTCCATAAAGCTGCTAAACTATCTCCCATGTCCAGTTAAAATTCGTTTTAACGATTTCTATACAATGCTAGTTGTAACTGCTTAAAAAAACAGTACAGCTTTGTATTCATGTTTTTTAAATCATACTTGTTGAAAACAGCTTCAAAACCGTAAAGCGAAGAAATAGTCTTTACCGTAAACTTTACGGTGAATTGGATGATCAGACTGCTACCGGCTATTTGAACGTTAATTTTAGAATGAAAATTCCAACCGTGTTACTTATGTCTGCCGCTCTTTTGTTCTTCTAGCTGATTTTTAAGAATATCGGATAACTGCAGTATAATTTCTTACCCAATTTTCAGCATAAATTGTCACAAACAGTCTTATCTAGAATTGCACAAGTATATTAAGTTTCATTGGGGATGTGAAAAGATGTAGGCTCTGCATTACTGTCAGTCACCAATGGGACATTCAATTTTTGAATGTCTTACTGGTATGTGTCAGTTTTTTCAGGAGAGCAAACGAAAGTTTGGGCCTCTTAATATTATTTGTTTTCACTTATTTTTAATAGAATTTTTTTTGCATACAATTGGCAAGTTCGTTTATGCAAAAATAATCCAACTTACAAAGTAATTTTTAGCAATAATTAGTTGCATTTTATTATTATTTTTTTTAATAATAGTCGAAGAACTTTGAAGTGTTATGTATGCAATTTTATACATGATCTTAAAGTAGTAATTGTAAATGATCGAATATAAACTTTTATTTGTAATTTATAACCGCCGTATAGCAACCGATCCAAATGACTACTAATGTTCAACTCCATTGCCTTGTAATTTTGAACCCAATCCAAAAGATAAGGGAACTACTGAATGATGTATTGGGAAAAATGCACTTTCGTAGAGGACTTTTTAATGGAAATATCCCCCATTAGAGTTACTTGGGGAGGAAAACCTTCTACGGTTAGCCTGATGGTAGGAGAACTCTAACCCATGATCCGTCTACCACTGAGGATATTTTGAGTCAGCACTGTGGTCACTGTGAAATTCGAATCGATCAGCCATCGCTGGGATTCGAACCAGGGACACCTCGTTGGAGAGAATTCTACCTCTTGAGCACCCACGGCTCAAAATGAAGAGTTCTCAAGAATTGGAATTTTAGATGTACGGTTACTTAATTTTTTCTTAAAAATACGACGATTGTTGTACGCGCTTCCACCTGTTCGCCTTTTATAGATATACCTAAGGCGGACATTTAAGAGGTTGACCAGTAATCAGTTCTTTCTCTGTACGTCAGACATAGTATCTCATCAGCCTACTTTGAGAAGTATTTACGTCATTACGTTATTCAACTTACTCGAAGTAATACGTTGCTTCATTTTTTTTAATACTTAAATTCGAACAGCTTTATCTTGTTACAAACGTAATATTTTATAGTTCTTAAAATAAATTTTAAAATCAGTTATTACGAAAAAATATATATTAAGATGTTTAAATTTTTTGCGTGTATTGAATGCTAATGTTAGGGAATGATTTTCATTTAGAAGCATATGCATATTACTTATGTCAAATTTTCGTCATATATTAAGATAAAGATATTCTTATCATTATTTGCGTCTTTCGGCATTTATACATTTAAATAACTCTGCATCATGCTCGCTAACTCCAGAATTGCTTACGCAATTTTTTCTTGATCAATTCGGAAATCTCAGTGGAGTACGGATTACCGAAAAAGCGGTGAAATATCAAGGAGTTGGTTGATTTCTTATTTCTTGCAAAAAAAACTTGCAAAGTGGAAGTTCTTAATTGAAAATCCTTACGAATATTGGTTAAGAAAAGTTGAATTTCTTATTTATAGAGACTAAAATCATAAATCTTGAAACATTTTTGCTGTTAAGATTAGGTAACCTAGTTTTAATTTTTACCTTTTTATAATAAATCATACAAAGTGCTACTAATTTTGATTTCAATCAGGGAAATGTGCAAAAGCGACTAAAAAGTAAAACTTTATTTCAGCTGATTCTACAGAATATTTTAAATAAAAGAATATTTAATGAAGAATTTATTTTAACGGTAGAAAAAATTGCTTAAATTACTTTTCTCTGTCTCCATGAAGGACTGGGTCGAACAGAAGGAATGAAATGAAATTAGAATGAAAATTTTAAAGAAAGAAATGAAATGAACATTTTAGAAATCTCACTTAATACTAATAGAAATTACTGGGGAAAATGGGTAAATAACAATTAATTTAATTGTTATTTTACCATACTCAGACAAAACAGTCAAATAACCATAAATAAAATGGTGATCAAACTATTAACCGTGAGAAAACCGTTTATTTACTTCCTTCACCTAATATAGTTAAGCAACCAGAATTTTATTGCGCCAATTACTCTCACCTAATGAAGCGACTTAATTCCTTGCAGCTGGTTCATTTACATAGTTCAGCCGAGAAGGCTAATCTGCCACGATCGGGAGCTCGGGAACCATCGTTGAAACCGCAGTATTTCCTTGATTCATGAAGAGTTTCTAGTGTCATAGACTCCCAAATTAGTGATCCTAGTCTATTATAATACGATACTTTCTCTCACACATAGATGGTAGCATCGTAAATCTTCTCCTTCTCATTGGCACGACAGTCCAGGATGGGCCTTGGCCTTCTCAACAAGCCTATGCCGAGACATTCTTCCCTTAGCCAAGGTTTTCCAATTTATTATTTTTAAAACTTGTCGGTCCTTTTCAAAGCAGTCTAAAAATCTCAGGTTTAGTCGTCCTCTTTTTCTTGTACTTGTTGGCCTGGCACTGAAATTTTTTTTGGTTGTCCTGCTATCCTCCATTCTTATAATGTAACCTGCCCATTTAATCCTTTGAATTTTGATAAGTGATCCCATGAATTTTGATCGTAAATATGCTTAACGGAAAAAAGTCTAGTATTTCCCAACTTTTGCAATAGATATGTAACACAACCGGATAAATTTATTTGGCCAAATTTCACTGTAGATTTGATAAAATTGTACTCAACCACAGCCTAATTCCAATGCTCATTACCTAACGAAAAGATCAGCTCCAATGTCCTGTTAAATTTCTTTATTACGGTTTTGAAAGCATGCTAATTGTAAATGGTTAAAAAACTGTTTATATTTTTGTATCCAAACTAGTTGTAAACGGTTTCAAAACCGTAAAGGTAAAAATGTTCTTTGTCGTAAACTTCACGGTTAACTGGATTGACAGACTGTTGTCCGTTATTTTACAATAAATTTTTAATGAAAAAATTCTAACAATGTATTAATTTAGGTTATATGGTTTCCGTTAACTAGTCCAACAAATTCCATTTTTTAGTATAGTAGACAATATAGCAATGCTATTTTCCAAGAAAAAGTGAAAAAAATACAAATTTTTGTTCACCTTTCGGGAATATACAAAGGAAATTTATCGGAATGGTTCGAAACTTTAAAGATTTTAAACTAATTTTAATTTTTTTTTTAAAATAAAGGCCAGGATTCTTTCTATTCCTGAGAAAAAGTATAAGTAGTTGTGAAATATTATTTCTCAAAACTGTAAAAAAAAAATATATATATATATACATATATATATAATTTTTTTTTAATTTGCACATTTTTTAAATCAATAATTTTTTTCAGTATTTTTGTATAAATTAATAAAAATTAATTAAAAATTATATTTTGCATAGGGTTATCTTTGGATAAACACATTTTACAATTGTGTGCAAAAAATTCTCCATTTGATTCGAGATAAGGCGATATACGCAAAATGTAAAATTAGAATTAAAAAGGTCCAAATATGTTATAACCGTCGCCGAACAGCAGACACGATTTTGAGTTTACTACTACCATTCCTCAACTCCATAGCCTTGTAGTTTTGAACCGAATCCAGAAGACAAATTTACCTTCGAGAAGGACTTTTTGTTAGAACTAACCCGCTTTCCGTTACATGGAGAGGAAAACCATGTAAACCTCCTACGGTTAGCCACACGGCAATGGGACTCATTATTCACCGACCACTGAGGATATTTTTCATCAGCACTGTGGTCGGTGTGAACCAGTTTCGGAGATCTAAACATTCGGCCGCTCTCCAGACCTAACTATTAGTCCATACCTTACTAAGCTAACTTTCTTAAGATTTCAACAACTCTCCATTTTTTTTTTTTTTTTTTTTGGATCAAGAATCTAAACCCATGTGTTTATTCACCGTTATGCTAAAGAATTTATTAAATTTCGATTACATTTTCCCTGTTACGCAATTAAAATAAATAAGTAAATAACACTCGGTTATTTCGTTAAAAGAAAAGACAAAAAACGAATTTCGTTGAAAACGAAGGTGGCCGACCGTCCTTTAAGAATGACCTATTAAAAAAATAAGAACAAAACAGAATGGGAAGGAAAGCAGTTACGTCAGCGGTGAAAGACTGTTGCCAATTGGAGGAAATAAATTTTTTCCCTGAGAGGTTCTATATGGTTCGTCGGATCCCTGAAAGAGACACAAAGGAAAACTCTTTAAATCAGGGGGTGGGTCGAATTAACAGTTACTAACAGTAAAACTTTCCACCGCCTTTTATTGGATGAATATTAACTAAGAGTAATTTACTCGCAATATCTTTTTCCAAGAAGTGGTGAACGTTCTTTACTAGTCGATACCTTTGAATGGATCACTACACTTTCGATTTCACTCCGTTATTCGATTTTCGTTTTTAGAGCACTTTGCCAACTTAGTGCTGACATAACTGGACAAATATGAGGTGCTTTTCGTGGTGCTATATCAGCGTGTTTTTGCTCGTATTATGGGCAGTGGACGAGTGCTTAGGACAATTTTTCGGTGACCCGGGATGGGGGGCACCGCCAATTAGAAAGAAACATCGTGCGAAACCAGGATTCAAGCAAAATTATGACTCTAATATTGAAAAATATCTACGGAAAGCTAAGACTGTTAGACATTATTATGTTGCTGCTATTGAAGTTGATTGGGATTATGCTCCTGGAGGAAATTTACTCGGTGAAAGGGCAGAAGAGTAAGTTCATCATTTTAATACATTTAAAAAAATTATTTGCAAAGTTTTCGTTCGTAAATTCTGATTGGTGTACGTTTTACTAATGGATGATATAATGTTGCAGTTTCATACACAAATGTTTATCGTGCATTTATTAAACATATTTAATCAGTTTCCTCTTAAGTTTTAAAATCAAAAATACATGAAGTCAATTTTTTTTTAAATTGTTGAAACAAAAAATTGACTTTTGGTTGACATAAAATAACAAGTATTGAAAATTATATAAAATAATTCACCATTTTAATACATTTAAAAAAAAAATTTGTAGAGTTTTCGTTCGTAAATTCTGATTGGTGTACGCTTTACTAAAGGATGATATAATGTTGCAGTTTCATACACAAATGTTTACCCTGCATTTACTAAGCATATTTAATCAGTTTCCTCTTAAGTTTGAAAAATCAAAAGTAAATAAAATTAATTTTTATTTTTATTTTATATTTTTTTTTAAATCGTTGAAACAATATATTGATTTTTAGATGACATAAAATAACAAATATTGAAAATGATATAAAATAAATAAGTACAAAAAACTAGTATTTTTTTAAAATAAAATAAATTTAAAAAAAATTTAAATTAATATTAAGATCATAAATTATTTTCATTTTATCTCGTGTTTTAAAATCAAAATAAATTAAATTCGTTTTTTTTAATAAATTCATGTTTCTTTTAAATCGTTGAAACAAAATATGGATTCATTGTAGTACATGAAATAAATAATATTTTAATTAAATAAATCAGGAAATAAATATCAATATTTTTTATAAAATACTGATTTAAAATAATAAGAAATAATGTGAAATAAGTAAAAATAGAAAGATAATAATTAGAAATATAATATATAAAGAAATTCATTGAAATACATATGTTTAAAACATAGCACATTAATGTGAATAAATACAAAATTCTTGATAGATTGTTTAGACCTAGATTTTTTTCAATAACCTAGATGCGAACAAGAAGAAAAATTTTTGTTAGCAGTTCCTTTTTTTTCTTTTTTTTGTTAAGAAAATGCCAAAATATATTTCAGTAGCATGTAATCAAATAGTTATCTAATTTTAACAGGTAAGTTTCTCAAAGAAAATTTTAAGATTAAAATAAATTTCTATCTCTGAAATAAAATATTTGAATTATCATTATAATAATTTACATTCCTTTTAAAAAGAATAAACATTACGATTTTTCACTATCACATCTTCCAAAGATTTTTTTTGAATTGAAGATTTAATATGACAAATTATTTGTTTTCACTGTCCCCTTGAAAATCAGCCTCTTAAATCAATATCTTAAAACAACTAACATTTTTTTATTTTTTAGGTGCACTTGAACAAATAGTTTAAAAACTTGCGTTACACCTACGTATGAGATATAGTAACTTGCGATACATAATGAGATGCATTAACAACGCCTGAGATGCATTAATTAAGTTCGAAGACCTTAACTGGTCTCTGCCCTCGCCATCTTGGGTTTAAGGTTGATTTTTGATTCGTGTTTTCTGCATATTTTTTGAACTTAGTAAACTTTTGTTGATATAGTATTATTAGTCAACACTATACCTTCAAAAAAACAGAATTTTTTTCCTTCTTTTGATTAAGAGATATTGTGCTTGATAATTTTTAGAAATTCTATGGATTTTTTCTCAAAACTTTAAAACAATAAAATTCTGAGATTTTTAGTTTTGAGTAAGCAATTTAAAACTACAAGTTTCTCAGTTTTTAGATTTTTAAATTCTGTTTTTATTAAACTTTAAACTGATGAAAACCAATTTAGATGACGCTAAAAGATTCTTTTAATGTTAATTTCGTAAAAACAAAGATTAAAAGTCTCAAAACAGACAGCTGCATATAGTATAGGCAAAATAATTTGGCCCCTCATTCGGGAAAATATTCCCGAATTTATAGGCTCAATAAGGATGTAAAGAGACGATATTTTCCGATATTGATCATATATAGAATTAACCGATTCAGCCGATAATTTACAGCCACTTTGCACCCAATATTATCCCTATATATAGTTGTTAGAGTCACCCCATATTTAATTGTCATTAAACCCCTTAATTTAGCCAATATATACTTTTTATCGGTCTCATATAGGCCGATATTGGCTCTATATAGGACCAATAACTCTAGACATGGTGCATATTCATATAGGACCCATATTGAGCCAATTTAGACCCCAACAGGGGACGAGGTAAAATTGTTGCTAGGAATATTTAAATACCTATCAGAAACTGTTGATTTCAGAATTGTAAGGGCACACTTTTGACAGAAAAAATTAATCAAGAATCTGAAATACCAGATGCTTTAACTCGAACTGCAATTGGCTGGCGGTCTTGTATTTTACATGTATCGAAATATAGTTCTCAGTAGAATAAATATCCATCATCAGTTCATTTGGGAAAATTAAATAAAAAGGATTAAAATCAAATTTAAGATTTTTTTATCCTCGTCCCCACGACTGTATCAGTTAATTTCGTTTGGGAGATGAAGTGTCAGTGGCTGCAAATTTTTTCGGCAATGGAACCTTCTGTGTCAGAATTTTCTTTTGGCAGAATCCCTACTTTATATAAGAAAAGGTTCAATGGCATCTCTAAATAAATAAAAAGAACTATTAATTATTTTGAAAACGCTTTATGAGAGGAATTAATTAGATATAATCGTTCTTGGTCTCTTGAAAAAGAATGAAATTAAATAAATTATGGTTTTAAAAAAAAATCTGTTTATTATGTTGTAGATAGTAATCAGAGCAACACAATTTTTTGTATTTTGAATTTATTGTTTTGCTTTAAATTTGAAAACTCGATGAGTTTTTTCGTTGATATTTTACATAAATTATTTCATATGAACCACCAAAATTTTAAACGAATTATGGCTTATTGCTGTGATATAAATATTGTTATAACAGGTTAATAAAAAGTCCTAAGTCTCGAAAAACTTTTTATCTGTTCACAGAATCCTACGTTTCCAAGGAGCACTTTTTAGGAACCACTGTTTAAGTCACATTTCGGTGGAACAAGTTGAAAAAAAAAAGTGCATTTTTAAGAAAAGAAAATCAATAAGGAAGATCATTAATTGCTTTGTGATATAATAAATAATAAAAACTCAAACTTTGCTTTGTGCTTAGATAAATAATAAAAAATCAAGTGAACAACTTTTAAGGAAAAACAAAACATAACAAAAAGAATACAATTATGGGGCCTTAAAAATATTGCAAAGCTTCTTTCAAGATCAATCTGTTGAATTATTCGTCAGTTACACAAATGGAAAATTTTTAGAGAATGCTTCTCTCCTATACACTGTTTCGATAGCTAATAATAATATTAAGATTACAGGAATATTCTCTAAACTTTTCTGGTGGTTGCACAAATTGGCAAGATTTTTCTTATACATAGTTTCACCATTTCCCTAGCTAATAATGTTGGACGCACTCATGAATAATTTCTAAAACTCTATGGTTATCCGCAGTGGCTCAAAGGATCGAGAGTTTGTCTCCCAATGAAGTGACCCAGTTTTAAATCCTAGTATCTGGTTGATACGAATTCTGCTCCTAGCTCGCACTAACAACAGTTTTAGAATAATCTTGCTGTTGAGTAACCGTGGGAGGTTTTCGTGGTTTCCCTCTCCATTTAACACAAATGCGGGTTAATTTCATCAAAAAGTCCTCCAGGAAGGCTAGTTTGTCCCAATTCTTGATCCAGAAGTTACCTTCCCTTCTGTGTTAGGTTTAAAATTACAAGGTCGTACACTTAGAATTGGGTCATCTGTTCAATACCGTTAATAAAATAAAGTAAAACCCTATGGTAATACTCAAATGAGCATGCTGGGAGAATGTTTCTCCCTTATTTAACAGTAAATCCACATATTTACATAGGACGCTTTCAAAATTAATGTCTAAAATTCTTTGGCAATTGCACTAATAGGCAATCACACTTTGGCAATTGTACTTATCGCTCATGGGCTACAATAGTGGCACAACTCAAAAAACACGAGTTTTGGACTAAGAACAGGTGTAAATAGGAAAATACAGATTCTTTCAGCAGCAATACTTGCACAACTCATAATTCAACTTGAAAGTAATCTTCGTTTAAGCAAACGAAAGCATTTCTTATGCATTTTGCTTAGCAATGAAAACTTTAATCCCCCTTATCGCAAAACTTGATTTTTTGAATTGTGCCGCTATTGAAGCCCATGAACTATATTTCCCTTCTCTATATTGTTTTGCTAACGAATAACATAAGAAAACTGTAGTTGATACGCAGATAAGAATGCAGCTCGAAATGTGACTTGCTACGCGTAGGAGTCAAACAACTCTTATAAAAATTAGTTGTCTTACTTTGATTCTGAATTTTTTTCCCCATTTGACGAAAGAATTCTCAAATATTAAAGAAAAATACGGAAGTGTAGTTTTCATTTGCATGCCACTCAATGGTTAAATAAAATTTTGTTTTTGCATAATGTAATTAAGAATTGGTACAGAGCGAAGGCGTTTCGGACATAAATTGAATATTGATCTTCAATTATTTTGAAAATTTCGGAACGTGGTGAAATACAAAAGTAAAAAATTGTGCTTTTTTTTTAGAGCGGAAGAGATTCGTGTGATAAAGGAAACTTGTTATGAAGTCTAGCAAAGATAACATTCAAAATTTCGTTTCAATTCACGTGTGCCCTTCAAAGACCTTCATTTTGAAAAAAAAAGAACTCTAATATATGTCTATGAACGATAAGTTTTTTCCAACAATCAACTAAAATTGGTGATTCGACACAAAAAAAAAAAAAAACAATTTTGTTGAATTCTTATAACTTAAATTGCGTTAGAAACTAAGCGCCAAAATTAGGGTCTCATTCTGATCTATTTTTGAAAGCAATTAACTTTCAGTTTTGATTCTTAGTTAAAAATCTTTCACTGAAAACAAGTTCTTTGAGAAAAAGTATTTCGTTATAATAATTTGTTCATTTTTATTTTTT